TAGTAGTAGTAATAGTAATAGTAATAATAGTAGTAGTAGTAGTCGTCGTAGAAGTAGTAGTAGTAGTAGTAGCAGTAGTAGTAGTAATAGTAGTAGTAGTAGTAGTAGTAGTAGTAGTAATAGTAGTCGTAGTGGTGGTGGTGGTGGTGGTGGTAGCAGTAGTTAGCAGTTAGTAGTTAGTAGTTTAGTGGTCAGTGGTGGTAGTGGCAGGCGTTCAGTGCACAGTGTTTGTAATCCTCTCGCTTGCAGGACCCTGCTGTCAAAGAGCACAAAGACAGCGGTGCCGAAAGCAAGGTTGAAAAGACAACTGAGAAAAAGCCTGAAAGCAAAGCAGACGGCAAAACGGACCCGGCACCAAAGTCGAAGCCGGAAGCCGACGCGGTGAAGTCCAAGAAGCAGAACGAGAAGAAGGACTCTTTTTCCGTGATTCTGTTGAGCAGTTGCTTCCCTGCGAGCCAGTTAGCCAATCTGATGTGATTTCACGAAGGAGGACGCGGACAAGGATGATGATGATGAGGAGGCATCAAGATCTTTGCTACCGAAGACTCATGTCTAACAGCTTTCAGCCGAGCCAACACAAGCCGTGCATGCCGTGCATGTCTTCATCTTTGATGATTCGTGGTGGATTCGGCGCAGGACGATGTGGAGGAAACCACCCGCAACTCCACAGAGTGTAGCCGCGCAGTTCTCACTTTGAGTTTTTGCTCCACTACAGCATAAAGTCCGCTGTGCCGTTGAAGGAGACTGCGGCTCCCGAGAAGAAGAACAACGAGCAAAGCAAAAGCGGAACCTCGGCGCCAGAGGACTGCAAGCTTGGGTTGCAATGCTGAATGTCGGAACAAGCCGATGAATGCTGTACAATCTCACCCTCCTCGGCAACTGTTTTTTGATACTGTCGGTTTTGAGCAGAGCCGTCGAGACTGCCAGGAGACTAAAGCCAAATCGGTCAAGTCTGGATGTCGCGAATCGACGGTGGCTCCTTTGCTCCTCCTGTCCTTAGCGTACACGAAGCTTTTCTGAGGGCAGCACATGCAGAGGATTCCCAGCAAGACAAAAACAGACCAGTATGTTGAGAAAGTGCACAGCGAATGTTGGAATGGTGCTGGAAGCCACATGTTGTCTCGGAGCTGCACGGAGTTGCTTTGCATGCTGCGTTTGTTTTCAAGAACTTCCCGGACGACAAAAGAACGAATTGATTGCTTCAACAATCCGTCCAGACGAGCATACCATGCCTGCGACAGTGAAGCAGCTTCCCATGACTTGGAAGCAGAAACTCCACCCTCCTGTCGCCAGTGTCTTACGGATCATGTCGCTTTGCTCCTTGGTGTTTTCAAGCGCCTTTCTTCTACTGTCCTAGAGAATTCCGGTGACTCGGTCGGATTCCGCCATGGCGCGCGGCTCCGCGAGGCGCCGCCAGCCAGTCGCAGTCATTGCAGCTGTCTGGTCCTGATGTCTGAAAGCAAGATAAGTAACCGACTTCTTTCGTCACAGTTTCGTGCGTCCCTTAAGGCTTGCCTGGCTGGTTGGGTCGGACTGGCGCGAGCGCAAGCCTGGAACCTGCCAGTGGGCCGGCGTGCCAGCCTGGCGGCAGCCGTTGGCGCGTTCGGTCTTCCAGTCTCCGCTCTGGCAGGTGCAGCTTCAGGGCTTGAGGGCTTGAGGTATCTTCGTGAGAGTGGACGCATTGGCGGAAATGCGGCTTTGCGATGACCCAAAAGGAACCGGCGATGGCAAGAGGAGGAACCTGGATGCCTCGGAGGTTGCTAAGATAGTGCGTGACGATTTAGTAGCTCGCCAGTTTCTGGCCACAGCAGACTTCAGTCCAGACTCATGTCTGCAAGGTGTGTCATGACCTTGGCCACCGGTTCATGATCCATGCAAGCCTGGGAAAGTGGGTTCTATGAACGCCCCGAGGAAATTTACGATGAAGCCTGCACCTTCACCGACGAGATCGATACATACCAGAAAGACAAGTTCATCAAAGGCACTAAGGCGCTCTTCGTCGCGTCCGAGTCCAACGTGCAGCTTGTCGGTGATGTCGACATCTTAGAGGGCGGCAAAAAGCTCCAATTCCGCTTTCAAGAAAGCCTAGCGTGCAGACCTCAGTGTTGCAACGCTTGCCGACTTGCATCCTTAATCTGCATGTATGTCAAGTTTGCGAGGTTCAACTTCCCGATCGTACATCCCAAGGCATGCAGCTGAGTTTGAACGTACGAGGGTATGGGCCCATGCAACTGCTGCCGTGGTGTAGGCGATCCTCGGATCAAGCTTCAGGTGACTTTGTCAGGGACTTGCACGTTGACACGGGGAGAGGACGGATTAATTGCGCCAAGCCCAGCAAAGCACATCCTTCGCATCATCAATCGCCAATGCAATCAGCGCTCGGCACTTGAGTCTGTAGATTCTGCCTTAAGGTGGCTTACAGGGAGAAATGGGTCCGGACCCTATGCTTCCTCGTGTGTTGGGCTTGCTTGAGGTTGGAATTGTTTTTCACACTGTTGGTTCGTTCTTCTTTGACACAGCGCAAAGGACCAGTCAATACCCGAAGTGCTCCGGTCGGCAAGGCAGGGCAGAAAAGAAGAGCTTGACGGATCACCAACTCAGCAACTCTGATGGCTGAGCAGGGTATGAAATGCTCCAAATGAACTTGGTAAAGACCTGAACCGATGCCTCTGATGCGCCAGTAGGCCTCACACATTATCGATAAACACCTGACGCTCGCGAAGAAAAATATGTGGAAATTTGCAAAAGATGTCTTATATATATGTATATATAGAGCCGTAGTTTGAATCTGACGATCTTTTCAAATATATGTTTCAAATCATTATTTTTACCTACGGAAAAGTGTTGGTTTAAATAGAAATATTTGTTGTTTCTGCTTAGAATCTAAGAATCTACTCTATAAAACGCTACGGCCAAACGTGCAGCACGCTTCGGGGCGCCTAGGCTTCAAAATTTTGGAGAAATTTACAGACTACGGCGCGCGAGCCGGTTGCGCCTACCCAGGACCCAAAATTTCCGGAAAATTTAGAAGCTCGGGCTGCAGCTTTAAGAGGGCGGGGCCTGTTCGGTGGTCTCGGGCTAGGCCCAGT